GCAAAGGTGTCCCCCCCCCCCCCAAACTCGGCCTCCCACCGCCCTCCTTTTGCCGAGGGCAAAGCCCCCTGCCATAGCCCCCACCCCAGTAAGGATTTAAGAAGAGGGACAGAGTGGTACCTGCGGTACTGGCACCAAGCACAGCCCTGTGGGCTCCTGCACCCAGACCAGACCTGCCGGCAGCGGGAGCGAAGCCTGCGGTGCCCCCACCCCTGGCTCCTCAGTCCCCTCCGAGCTGCTTGGGGGCCCCAGATGGGAGGGGGCCACAGCTCCCTCTACCCAACCCGGCTGGAGGGGATCCGTAGGACACCCAGATACAAGCCAGATGCCTGGAATCTGAGGATATATGGGTGGGAGAGGGGATGCACCCTCAGCCTGTGCCTCAGTTTCCTCAGGTGAACAGGACTGGGGGCTCAAGACGCCCCCGAGCGGCAGGGACCCCCTGAGAGTGGGTTGCTGCAGGCAGGCATGGTGCCAGGCACACCCCAGCCCGCCAGTCCCCTGGGATGTGGGTATTGTGGGTTAACCCCGCAGGCAGCTAAGCGCCACACAGCCGCTTGCTGACAACCCCCACCCAGTGGGATGGGGGGGAGAATTGTGAGGGTAAAAGTGCAGAGACTCATGGTCTGAGATAAAGACAGGTTAATAAGAAGAAGGGGGGAAAGAGAGAGAGAAAGAAAGAGAAAGAAAGAAAAGCCAAGAAAAACAAGTGATGCAAAAAAAGAAACAACTGCTCACCACCAGCCAGCCGATGCCCAGTCAGTCACTGAGCAATGGCAGCCCAGCAAACGTCTCCCTCCCAAATTTTTATTGCTCAGCATGAAGTCATATGGTGTGGGATATCCCTTTGGTCAGCGGGGGTCAGCTGTCCCAGCTGTGTGCCCTCCTAACTCCTTGTGCACCCCCAGCCTGCTCGCTGGCGAAGCAGGGTGAGAAGCAGAAAAGGCCTTGAGGCCGTGCAAGCACTGCTCGTCAATAACTGACACATCTCTGTGTGATCAACACTGTTTCATCACAAATCCGAAACATAGTCCCATACAAGATAGTATGAAGAAATGATCTCTATCCCAGCAAAACCAGTACAGTGGGGCATTGCCCCATGCTCACGCCGCACTGGCGCCAGGGCTGCGCCGGCACTTGGCTGGCCCCTCAGCCATGGCTGCCACGGGAGCAAGTCCCACTGGTGTGGGGGCCATGGCGGGGGCAGGCGAGGTGCAGAGGGGCAGGTGAAGGAAAGCTCATGGTGCTATTGCCTATGTGAGGTCTGGAGGGGCCACCAGAAGCACATGCTGGGGTGAGGGGACTGTGTCCCTGCTCAGACCCTTCCCCTGCACCTACGTCCAACACCCCTGGGACCCTCCTCCTGAACCCCCAAACACCTCCCCACAGCCCCTGGCTCTGACCCCCAGGAGTGGCACTGCTGGACCCTGCTGTGGCAAGGCAATCGCCGGTCCAGGCTCCCCGTCTGCAGGTGACAAAATGCCCACCACCCGCGGCCCCTGCCTGCCTGGGCTCTCCTGCCCCGTGCCTGCTGCAGCGAGGCAGGGCTCACGATCAGACATGGCGGAGGGGTCTTTACCCCAGACAACCCAGACCTCTATCTTCAGCCCAGGCTATTTCACCTCCCGCTGAGACGTTGAGGACCACAATGGTTCTTCTTCCTCCCCTGGGCCCGTGAGCCACAGCCCAGTGCCTGATCCTGCACCCCTGCCGCAAAAGCTGCCATGTTCTTCAGTCGCTGCGGCAGGAGCTGCTCAGAGCACAGCACCTCTGCGTCGCAGGGGCAATGCAGCACCACAGCTACACAGGCCCTGGTTACCACTCCACAGAACAAGTAAAAAGCATCAACTGGAGTACATAATCAGGGGTCACATCGACCACCATGATTTAGTTAACTGCTGTCCTGGTTTCAGGTGGGATAGAGTTCATTTTCTTCTTAGTAGCTGGTGTAGTGCTGTGTTTTGGATTTAGGATGAGAATAACGTTGATAACACGCTGATGTTTTGGTTCTTGCTGAGCAGAGTTTACACTGGTCAAGGACTTTCCAGCTTCCCGTGCTCTGCCAGGTGCACGAGAAGCTGGGAGGGGGCACAGCCAGGACAGCTGGCCCAGCCTGGCCCAAGGGCCATTCCGTACCGTATGAGATCACGCTCAGTATATAAGCTGGGGGAAGAAGAAGGAAGGGGGGGACGTTCGGAGTGATGGCGTTTGTCTTCCCAAGTCACCGTTACATGTGATGGAGCCCTGCTTTCCTGGGGGTGGCTGAACTGGGGATGGCCTGCCCATGGGGAGCAGTGAATGAATTCCTTGCTTTGCTTTGCTTGTGCGCGCGGCTTTTGCTGTACCTATTACACTGTCTTTATCTCAACCCACGAGTTTTCTCACTTTTACTCTTCCAATTCTCTTCCCCATCCCACCGGGGGGGAGCGAGCGAGCGGCTGCGTGGTGCTTAGTTGCCAGCTGGGGTTCAACCACAACAACCGCACGGGTCAGGACAGTTTCCCGGAGCTCCATAAAAGCAGCCACTCTTCTGTACACGTTCCCGCAGTCTTCTCAAGCAGCGCTGTGCAAGTTCATGTCTCCTGCTCTGGGAACAGAGGGACTCCCCAAAGCAAGGGCGCTGTTAAACCGCACCCACTCCCCACACCAGTATGAACAGGACTGGTAATTTATTTAGTGCAGTTGTCTCCAGAGTGGAAGAAAATATTAAAACTTCTGTTTAATTTTTACCTAAAAAAGAGAAGAAAGAAATTAAGCTGTACTTACATTTATTATACAGCTGACCACTGACACCCTCACACAGTCTGCGTGTCAGACAGTCCCGTGTTGTGCGCGGTACAGGCGGGGTGTCCTGGAGGAAGAGTGGGTGCTCACAACGTGGAGAGGTTCGCAGCACCACCCTCGCTTGCTGACTCGATTCTGGCACATTGCAGTTTACCTGTGGCCAGTTAAGTGGATTTATGGATGATATCATTTAGTTTTACCTAAGCTAACCTTCACAAAAAGGACAAGTGGCTTAAAAAGATTCTGGCAAAGAAACCGCATGAAGGTGATGCTGATAATGTGAGCACAAGAGAACAGCAGAGCTGACACTTCTCCTCCTCTTCCTCGTATGAACTCTTCGCCAGCTGTATTACAAGGGAAAAACAATGACGACCTAGTCAAACCTGGCAAGAAATCAGCCAAACAAAATTTAGAGCTATCAAGAAGACTATGTGAAATATGGATTTACATTTGCTATCATTAGCAGTGAACCTCACCCTAAGTGTGTACTGTGCCTTGAGATGTGAGCTATTGGTAGTAGGAAGACATCACGGCTAGCAAGGTATTTAAAAAATGAAGCATCCAGAACATAACAACAAGCCTGCAATTGTTAGCCCTGAAAACAGCTGCGTGATATGACTAACCAGTTTAGACATACACATACCCAGCTGGGACCAGCACATCTGGACCACTGTGGAGTCAATTGATCGGGTTTTCTTCAGAGGACCTGGCCGGCCGTCAGTGAACTGCCTGTAAGACAGCTGGAGAGAGACAGGGGTTTTGTCCCCTGGGCAGGTATACTGTCAACTTAGTGTTGTACTACAGAACTGGAGAACAACCACCTCTGTGTGGTCTGCACCCACCACAGAGGCATTAATTTCTGCCACGGAATCTGCTGTAATCTGTGCAGAAAGACTTGTGCAACAGCCCAGCCTTGAGGAGTACCACGAGACATCAGCATGTACTGCCCGTTCCGATAGTTTCGATAGCCAGCTTTTTAATCCCCAATAGCAGTTTAGAGGCAGGAAGAAGAGAAATCGAGCAAGCCCCAGACTCGTCCCAGCCCTGCTGGTGATGATTTCGGCTCTCCTTTGCCACCTCTGCCTACAGCATGCCAACAGCAGACCAGAAAAATCACTAGCTCCTTTACAGGACAGGAAAAAAATAACTTCCTATATCATTTACGCCAAATAACTTCACTTGTTTTCTTGCAGACTGTAGACCAAAACAAGACTCCACTCCAGCCATTTCCAGGAAACAAACAACGTAATCTGAGTAACTTTCAATCTAAGTCTACCTGACACTTCTGAAATACAGTAGAACCACCTGGTCTGATTGTGATTAGTAGCTCAGATGTCAATACAGGTGACTGTGAGATGACAGATGGTGGTGGTGTGCCAGCTGAGGCTGACGGTGGTATCTATTTCAAGGGAAAGAATTGAGCATACCCGCGTTGCTCTCTTTTCAGCCTGACAGCTTTCACCACGGAGGCATCCCAGTCCTGTGGGAAACAGACAGCACTCGTTAGCTCAGTGTAAATACCATACAGCCTCCAGCCAGGAATGTCATAGAATCATAGGATGGTTTGGGTTGGAAGGGACCTTTAAAAGCCACCTAGTCCAACCGGCCCCTGCAATGAGCAGAGACATCTTCAACTAGATCAGGTTGCTCAGAGCCTTGTCCTTCATTAAGTTTTAGCCAATAGCACACCAGAAAAATGGCCTGATCTTGTAGCTGACCCTGATCTGAGCAGGAGGATGGACCAGAGACCTCCTGAGGTACCTCCAGCTCAAACTGATCCTATGAGAGATGACACCTAGCCTAGTGAGACAGACACGGAGCTGCTACCATAACAGGAAGACACAAGTCCTTCCAAGTGACGTGCGGAAACAGACTCCACAACCCATTAGGTTGTAAAGTAGGTGTGTTTATTCAGCGCTGGGCAGCACGGGGGGTCATCCCGCCAAAGTCGTGCGCGCCCACGTGGTGGCTTGTCCTGGATTTATACGACTAAGTGTTACATATACACAAGGTTTCCCAGTACGCCTAGACATACGCATGACCTGTCCCCGCCTCGTATTAAAATTAGCCCCCAGAGGTCATTTCCATAAACCCCTCCCAACCGCGCTTGCGCGGTCACAGGGGGTCGTGGGGATGAAGGCTGAGGACTCTTCTTCGTCACCGCTAGTAACCCCTTGTTCTTGCGCAGACTCAGTTGCTCCTTGACTCTGGTCCAAACTGCAGGGTCGGTTTCAGCTGGTTTTTGGGACAAGTTTCTGTTCTTATCAGGAACTGTCCTTCGCTGAGAGACTGCAAGACTCCTTACTTCAATAGTTTTTTGTATAATAGTTACAACTTTTATAGTTACACTCTAAAGCCCCTTTTCAGTCCCCCCTTTTCTATACAGTTAGTAAATTGTTTTACTATATTTTATTTTAATATAATGTTCCTTTATCTAATATCTTCTCAAGATATTTGTTAGATTCAAGTTTTTGTCGAAGTTGATTCTTTTTCCATTCGCTGTAGGAATCCCTTGTGCTCTGGAAATACCACCAAGCACACCGAATTATTACACACAGGGCCATAGACAGAATTGCAATTATAATTGTCACAATAAACAATTGTTTCAACCATGCCAAGTTTGGTAACCAAGATGTTAGTTTTTCTATTAAGTCACTAAATCCCCAAGATGTGTTATCTTGGGCCGCTTCATGCAAGATTTTGTTTTTTTCCCAAATTTGAGATAAATCTTTTTCAATCCTTTTGTCTTGGTTAACATAGGTACGGCAATGTTCACCAAGAACTGTACACAAACCTCCTTCTTTAGCGAAAAGCAAATCCAGCCCTAACCTGTTTTGTAGTGTTACTTGTCTTACGGAAGAAATTTCTTTCTGTCCTTAAAGGGATCAAACAGGTCGGGGGAGGGTGAAGGAATTAGCCCCCCGCCACTTTTATAGGTGCATTCCCAAACTAGTATAACCACAAATAACATGCGCATCCTGATCAAGCGGCAATCGGCGTTTGTCTAGCTTTCTTCGGGTGGTGTGTGTCCGGATCGGCTGCTCCCTCCTGAAAAACAAAAGTAGAAGCAAACTCACTTCTCGGATCGGAAGGAAGGAACAGTCCATTTAGCGTGAACGTTGTGGATCTTTCGGCAAGCATCTCTTGCCCTCCACGTGTATTTATTCACCGAGGCGTCTAATGTTAATGGCACTGCTCCCACAGTGGGGAGTTCAACTAAGATGGGTCATCCGGGGAAACGGGATGGGTTGTTGGAGCGTCCAGGGCCAGGTGAGGTGGGCACGATCGTCGGGGCTTGTGGGCAAAACGCCGGCATCTTTGGGCATCCGTTTGTTCCCCGATGGCTATTGACGCTGGTCACTGCATCTCCCACCCGCTCAGCCCACCCTGGTTTGTGTGCTTTCAGGAAGCGCTTCAGCAAGCCGTTTGTTCTCTCCACGATCCCATTTGTTTGCGGGTCGTATGGGGTGTGGAATACCCATGAAACCCCCTCCCGAGCCGCCCATTCCTGGACCGTCTTGGCTGTGAAGCGCGTCCCACTGTCGGACTGAATCGACTGCGGTTTAGGGAAGGGCCCAAACCATTCTTTCAGGGCATTCTCCCCTGTTGCCTTAGCGCAGGCTGTAGCCTGTGCTAGGCCAGATACCAGTTCGACCCCCACTAATACATAGCACTTCCCTTCTGATTTGCGGAACGGGCCGTTGCCATCCACCTGCCAGGCCTCCCACAAACCCTTTCGCTCTCTCAAATGTAGGGGGTCGTCTTCCAGGGGTTGCCTGTCTAAGCGGCCGCAGCATTGTTCACAAGAAGATAGACACGTTTTACGCTCTTCTCTAGTGACCGGCCACCCTCGAGCTTGCGCTTCTTGAAATAGATCCCTGATCCCTGAACGTTTCCGCTTTCTATGTAACCATTCTAATAAATGTCCCCAGTCTTCCCTTATGTGGGTGTTCTGTAAGCGAGCTAAACGAGCTAATTCGCCTACCTCAGCGTTCCATCGGCTCGTTGGAGCGTCGCTTTTATGGTGGGAGGCTACCCACCCTACCGCAAATTCCCTATGTCTAGCAATTGCAAGAATGTCTTGCCGTTTTTCCTTTTGCCGTATCGGTACCCCGTTGACCTCCCATTCCTTCTGTTCCCAGAAAGGTAACCGCTCCGTGCAACCTTTGAATACCGCGTAGGAGTCAGTATAGATGTGCACGGGGGAAGGAGCTTGGGCCTCATGTTGAAATACGCCCCCCACCGCAGTTAGTTCCCCCACTTGCGCGCTACCCTCCCCTTCGGTGATAATCTGTTCCCTGGTCCCTCCTTGGAGGGCCACCGCTCGATATTTCCAGACTTTCCCCTCCCGTTTTGACGAGGCGTCTGTGAACCAGACATTGTGCATCTGTTCGGAAAACGGGGGAGCTCTCTGTATTACCGGGGAAAGTTGAGGGGCCTCCTTGTTCAAGTCTACCTCATCTTGTACGGTTAGCACCTCGATAGCTCCTTCGGGCACGGGAAAGATTTTGCCATGGTGTTCCATCTGCGCATACCGCTTTCGCACAGAGGCTCTCTGAGCCGCCCCGTCGGGGGCGGGATTCCCGCTGGGACTGTTTTAATTACTTGAAATGGGCCCTGAAGAATTCTAGCTGGTTGATTGACACTTCGTTCAGCTTCTCTCAAAGCTAGGCTGACTACGAAGAAGCCCTTCTCCCAGGTTGCCTATCTTTTCTCAGCAGCTGTAAAATGGCGCGAGTGGAACCCGATGGCCGAATGGGCCCCTCTGGTCCCTTTTGCCCCAAATGAATCGAGAGCCTGGTCTGGGCAAACCCCCATTCGATTTGAAGTGGCTCCGTCGGGTGGATGGGCCCCAGGGCTTGGTATGCACTTGCCTCGAACACCAACAGTCGTAGCGCCTCATCGTGGACCGGGGTCCACTCCCATTGGGCCCTTTTCCGTAGTAAATCATGTAGGGGTCTCGCGATCACTGAGAAGTCAGGGATATGTTTCCTGCAAAACACAGCCCTTCTGACGTGCTGTGCACCCAGGTCCCACGCCTCGTTCAGCAGCGGGCCCCCATTTGCCCCTCGCCGTCCTTGTGTCCCCTGGGTGCTGACGGAAGCCCTTCTTGTTGCCTTGGAGATCCCAGGCCAGGTTGAGTTCCGGCTGGGCTTTGGCTTTCCTAACCACATCCCTGGCTGCTCGGGCAACGCCTCTCTCCTCCTCCCAGGTTCCTGTCCCTGCCCCAGGCTCTGCCTCCTTCCTTGCCGCCTCTGGCTTTGGCCAGGAGCTCCTCTTCACCACAGTGCCCTCTGCATCAGCACGGCCAGCCCTCAGCCAAAGGGGCCCCTTCCCGCAGGGACTGGGGGACGCTCAGCTCCTTCCTGCTACAGGAGCCGACCCTTGCAGCGCCCGCGCTCAGCACCACCCACGCGGGCTGCTCTGGGGAAGAAGAAACCCGCGGTGCTTTACGGGAGTGTGTTAGGGCACCCAGAGCCGTCATCCCAGGGGCACTGCCTGGGCAGGAGGCTGGCAGCCATCGAGGTCTGCCGGGCGCCCGCGCTCCCCTCCCAGGGCACGAGCTGCCCCAGCACGGGGTAAACACTCAGCAAAGCTGCTCATAAGCAGTTGGTCGAGAAGGATCAGAGTGCAGGTGAAGGCGAAACCTCACATGACCCTGAAAAAAGGGATGAAAGAAGGTTTTCCCGAGGGCAGAAATGAGCCGGCCTCCCCCCAGGCCCCATCTCGCCCCCAGGCGCACTCCGCCCTTGGGGTGCGCGTCCTGGGCTTGCAGCTGCGGTGGGTTTGCAGGGAGCTGAGGTTTGAGGAAGGGGGTTGAGCCCGCAGGGAGGGGAAGGGGCTGATCCTGATCTCCACTCACGGGATCCAGACCCCGACCTGGTGCAGGGTGCCAGGGTGACAAGAACCATAAAACGCACCCGGACCCTGGAGGCACAGCCCGCCTCTTCGTTGCTGCCCGGGTCCCACCGCAGGGTTCCCCTTTCCCCACCGGCTGCGGTGCCACCGGCCCCCCCCAGCGTTTGTACCCACCAGCTGGTGGATGCGGTTGAGGACCAGGTCGGTGATCTCCGGCCCAATGGCGCAGTGCCCATGGGCGTAGTTGTTGGCCACGTCCTCCTTGCCCGTGATCAGCTGCTCGGGGTGGAAAAGCCACCGGTACGTCCCTGCGCGTGCCTCGTCTGCGAGGAGTGCCCGCCTGCCCTTTAGCACCAGGCACACCGTTATCACCGGGCACACCGTTATCACCGGGTGCCTCGCGGCCCCCCCGGTCCCCCCTGCCCTCACCGATCACCGTGGGCTCCAGGTCCACGAAGACGGCGCGGGGCACGTGCTTGCCGGCCCCCGTCTCGCTGAAGAAGGTGTTGAAGGAGTCGTCCCCCCCGCCGATGGTCTTGTCGCTGGGCATCTGCCCGTCGGGCTGGATGCCGTGCTCCAGGCAGTACAGCTCCCAGCAGGCGTTGCCGATCTGCACGCCCGCTTGGCCCACGTGGATGGAGATGCACTCGCGCTGCGGGGGCACGGGGGGATCGGGCTCAGCGGGGCGCAGCCCCCACCCCAACGCCGGTCACCCCCCCACTTCCCCGGAGCTGGCGAACCCGCGGGCCCTCCCAACCGCCCCCCCCCACTTCGGGAGCACCCCCAGCCCCCACAGGAAGGGGAACCCCCCCCTTTTCTCCACCAGCCCTTGCACGACCGTGGGCTCTCCTGGCCCCGCCGCCAGCCCCTGCCCAATCTCCCTGGCCTGCAGTGCCACACACCCCCTCCCAGTTTCAACTCCCAGCCTGTCCCCCAGCTCCCCGGGAACCTCCCTGCCCCCACCTGCTCAGGGTCATCCCTATTCCCCCCACCCCCACCCCTGCCCCACGGGGGGCAACAGGGCGACGTTCCCCCTGCACCCGCACAACAAAAACAAGTAAGTAAATAAGTGACCAGAGAAGAGGGCTACGTAAGAGCCCTGTAAAGAAAGATGAGAAAGATCAAGAATGGAAAAAACAGCTGATGCAAGAAGGGGAATACTGGGCTGACGTTGGATCAAAAGTTGAAGGGGGACCGAAGTCTCACTATCGTAGAGTGATTTCGGAATGGGTGTCATCTGAAAACCTGCCCATTCTGCGGGGGACCTTTGAGAAAGCCATCGAAGGTGGAGAACATCCATCAGTATTACCTGAGGAGGCGATCGAAGACTACTACGCATGTTTTTTGTAAAGTCCGTGGAATTGAAGGCTGACTGGGTTCTGAAGAGGCAACCAGCCCAGGGGGCTACTTCTTCTGAACCTCCTAAGGAATGGATGAAGAAAAGGGCCAAAAAATGGGGTCAGTTCCTGAGGTTCCAGCGGCCGTTTTCTCTCGATAGAGGCAAACTAGCCGGTATCATCCTGGATGACGTGGAATCCCCGAAGCGCAATATCCCGCTGGATGAGGTTCACAGGGTGCTCAAGCCTAGATGGGAATCGCCTGGTACATTCAAGGGATTGGGAACATTCAGAAGCATTGGTCGTGCAGACAATTCCGCATTCGAAACCACGATCGCGGCGAAAGAGATCGCGAAGAATATCAAAGAGATGAATAAGAACTCGGCACCAGGTCCAGATGGACTAAGCTTGAGAGATCTAGGAAAGATCGATCCACATTATGTCCAACCGATGGAACTATTCAATTTATGGTTGGTGTCGGGGGTTATACCGGATGCGGTAAGAGGGTGCAGGACGGTTCTGATATCGAAATCTGCCCTGCCTGAGCACCAAAATGATAGCAAGAGTCGGCCACCTCTCACCATTGGTTCAACCACAGTGAGGTGGTTTGCCAGGATTTTGAGGGCAAGGCTGACAAAAGCCACGTCCCATTAATCCCCGGCAAAGGGGGGTTATTAAATCTGCCGGGTGCGCTGAGAATCTGAAGTTGTTGCAACTTCTAATTCGTAACGCTAAAAGGGAACACCGACCCTTCGGTGTAGTCTTTGTCGATCTAGCCAAAGCCTTCGATACAGTGAGCCACTCTCATGTAATATTGGCTCTTAAACAAAAGGGCGTGGACGATCATATAATCGCCCTAATTATCAACTTGTATCACAATATTACCACATGTATTGACCTAAAGAATGAGCGGTCGGATCCTATTGGAATTGGAGTAAAACGAGGCGATCCAATGTCTCCAATTTTATTTAATCTGGCGATAGACCCCTTATTGTGTAAGTTGGAAGAAATGGGGAATGGCTTCCAACACCACTCAAAAACTGTAACCACTATGGCTTTTGCTGATGATCTTGTACTGCTAAGTGGTTCCTGGGATGCGATGAAAAGGAACGTCGATATTCTGGAAACCGTGCTCGGTCGGAAACCCCAGCTTTCCGACCGAGCGATTGGAGTCAGCACATGGAGGGGGCTGGGGGGACTGGGGGGGTTGCCAACACATGGAATCATGGAATGGTTAAGGTTGGAAAAGACCTATCATAAAGTCCAACCGCTAACCCAGCGCTGGCAAGGCCACCACTAAACCATGTCCCCAAGCACCACATCTCCCCGGCTTTGAAATCCCCCCAGGGATGGGGACGCAGCCCCTGCCCCGGGCAGCCTGGGCCAGGGCCTGACAGCCCTTTGGGGGAGG